CAGCCTGTGACATATCCACATCCCCATCCCCATCCCCAGCTGGGCGAATCCCAAAACTCGCCCCAATCTTCTTCTCCAGGTCCGCATCAGCCTGGTCGGCCCAGACAGAACGCACCATGCCCGCCGCGCCCTCGGCGCCAATCTCCTCGAGCCCGCGCGGGCCAATGAGCCACGTAATGTCCTCACTGCCGTCCTGCGCCTGCGTCCCCGCGTTCTTCTGCACTTTGCGCACGACGTAGCCCTGCGTCTGCATACGCTTCAGCACGTCCTCCGTCTTCTCCACCGCCACGTTCGCCTCGGCGTTGAGGCGGTTCAGATGCCGCCGTAGCTTCTGCTCAGACAGCTCGCCGCCGCTGAGGAAGACGATGGTCACAATCATGGTGTAGAAGCCCACATACGATGCTTCGGCGTCGGTGCTCGGCGCTTTTGAGGGGGCGAGGATGGTCGGGGAGCGGTATTGGGAGGGGAGGGTCGAGGATAGGACGTAGACGCCTGAGCTGCTTTTTGCTTGGGAGCCGGACTTTAATGCTGCGCGGTGTTAGCGGGGGATGCCAAGTGACGTCGTGTCGTAGATGACACTTGCCTTGTCGCTTCTCCGCCATGGTGAACTTTTCCCTCACTGCGAGTTCTCGCAGCTCCATGCCCCAGACGAGGCGGAGCTGTTGTTGCGCTAGGTCGAATACTTTCCTAAAGGCTCTACCCTGATCTCCGAGTACTGAAGCGACCGTCAGTAATGCTCACAGTGCTACGAGCCCTTCGTATCTTCGTACCTCGCTCCTTGATACCGTCTCGACGGATAGGCGTTCGCGAGAATTCGCAGGCCAGCGCATATCGCACCAGTTTCTTCGAGAGTTGGTCCTCTGCGCTCGCTTCGGCGTCCACAGCACCATTTTCAGATCCTTCTTCTTCAGCAGATTCGTCATTATTGCGCCTTTGTCTCGGGTGTCTTGGTTCCTCGTCTGAGTCTTCGTCGTCGACCTGGGTGCTGTTAGTCTTTGGTGCGAGCCTTGAGGATTTAGCGCGGGGCATACGGGTCGTCTCCTCCTTTGTGAGGGAGGCATGTTGGCTCTGAATGGAACGAAGGTGCTCCAATTCTGACAACGGAATCTTAACAATGCGGATTCTCAATTCAGTTTTAGAAGAAACCCAAAGCGTAGGCAATTCGACTGTACCGGTAGGTAAAATTCGGTGAACTTGCAATCTGACGCGACTGGACGCGGTCTTCGCGGTGCCACTTCAGACCCTTCGCACCTGCAGGTTCGCGCCACGTTATCTTATCTCTTATCTTATCGCACCCAGCTCCTGTCGCAAAAATTTGGGAGCTCTGGTCTGAGTGACATGGTTGTATGTTCGCAAAGGCATGTGAATGCTCATACAGCGTTATCCTGCATTTCTTTCTTTCAAATGATTTCGCGAGTAGTGTTTGCTCGTGGTGTATGCCTGCGATGCCAATTACGAATCCTCGACCGACCGAGAGCTCATAGCTCACTCCGAATCGCCCCTTTTCGAACCCAGCTCCTCGAGCGACGGACGTATAGTTCCGAATCAGCATGGGAGCGCCTTACCAGAATCTCAGAAGGGAGGGATGAAGAACCGCCAAGCAGGCAGGTGCCTGAGAAGGACGTCTCTTCTACGAAAGACCAGCCTTCTCAGACGTCACCCAAAATAGTAGAAGGAGATGGCGCATCGATCGAAACCGAACCGGAAGCTCCCACCTTGTCCCGTGGGCCAACGAAGCGAAGCGGCCCTCTCTTGACAAGATACTACATCGGCGAAGACCCCCTCGACCGAGTCTCAAGGCGTCGCGTTGGCAATCGTAGTGTGTACCTCCAATCTGAGGCACTGGACGTTGATATACTGGGAGAAAAGGCACAAGCGATTGTCATGCGCGACATGAGACGCAGCCACCGGAATATTAAGCAATTGCCCGTTGAAGAGCTCATTCCCGAGGCATTCGACATCAGCCAGAGCCTAGCATCTGAAGATAAGGATTTGACGATGGAGGAGGCACTGTCGAACCTTGAGGAGATCCGGCCCTCCGATCCCATTGTCTCGTACGATGACTTTTATACGCTGCTTGATGTGCTTATCAATGGCTTCACAGTTGCCCAACTCAGGGCATATGTAAGCCGTACGAACGCGAGAGCTGTTACTACGCCCAAGGAGAAGACGAAGCAGCTCTACGATTCTGTAGAAGTGTTGACGCCCTGGACCCCCGTGGCAAGCGTCGAAATCGACGGCTCGGCCAAGGAGAGGCTGGGATTGACTCTCATGCTGGAGGCCTGGCGCTTGACCATGAGAGAGATTGTCGATGGCCAAGGTTATTTGAGTGGGCGGATTGATGAGCGGTTCTTTGCGCTACTTACGAGTGAGTAATGCGACCCAGCTATGGCGGTGCTGTCTAACATGCAAATAGACCAAGAACAGCGACTGGATGCCATCAGGGAGGCTTATCTCGATCCAGGCGAAACCATTGACATCTCGGATTCGATATTAAAGATTAACGCCACCAAGGCCAAGACACAGGCAATTCTTCAGAGGCTGGACGAAGCTACCAAATCCATCATTGTGAAGAACTTCAAAGCCGATTGGCTTGCTAATAGCGAGGTCGACGGGAAGTTACTCTGGAACTTGGGTCAGCTCACCAATACTTTCATCGACCGTAAAAAGCGTAAAGAGGTGCGTCCAACTCGTCGTATTGCAGTTATGGCTACAACTAACAGCCGAGCAGATTGAGGTGTCGTGGATCAAACACGGGAACACTGAAGTCGCCTTTGGTGAACAGGTAGACCAAGACGAAACGGGTGAACAACTGGGCCATATTGTTCAGCGTCTGCTACATTCCGCCCTCTTCCCGAGAGAACAGTCCATCGCCTTGAAACATGAGTCCAATGTGAAGAAGGCAAGACTTGTCGCCGAGCCTCGCGGCAACGAGAAGCTCTCGTGGAAGGAGAGGCTTACACAGTGGTCTCGATGGGTGAAGCAAGCCGGCCGAGAAAATTTAACCGACAAGGCGTTCACCATCACGGAGGGCGACGTTTTGCCTTTGCCTCTGACCACCGAGGCCCCGGCTCTGGATTCAGATGCTCCTTGGAGCAAGCCGTACGTCTCGACAACCGCTTCCTTTGGCCAAATACTCCACAAGTATGACGAAGGAGGTTTTTCAATCGCCAAGGCAGCCAAAACCAAGAACCACATCTTCTCACCTAGCTCTCCGCCTCCCGCAGGTCTCACACCCATCGTGGAGTCAGTCACCTCTGCGAATCCGGAAACCCCCATCATAACTACCCTCCTCCTCCATTTCCGGCCTCACCCCTCCATGGCCAAGGAAACGGCCCACGACCTTCCCGACCTCCTTGAACTCCACCTGACCGTTCCGGACGACCTACCCGAAGGCCCCCTGGCGTGGGACGCCACTCCTAAGCGCCTCGTCGCTACCCTTAGCCAGACCTTTACCGACGTCGCGTACCCCTCCGAACCCGTCGACCTGCGGCTCTCGCAGCCGTTGGTGTCCACCATGTCACCAGAGGCCCTCGATACGTCTGCGTTCCGCGAGTACATTGAGGCCGCGAAGCTGGATCTCCTCGAAGGACGCCTGCGCCCGCCGCCCGAGGTCGAGCTGTCGGGTCTTCCCTTCGCCAAGGATGACGGCAGCGTTTCCGGGCCCGTAAAGTACATGTTTGCCGGTCTCGAGATGCGCAGGACTCTCGAGGTGGGTTACGAGGGTCACAAGATCCAGTTGGCGAGTATCGAGGCCGGTCTGCACGGCGGTCGCCGCTCTCAGATGAGCTTTGAGGCTGTGCCACCACCTGCCGACGCGAGCTTGTCAAAATACGAGCAGAAGGCCTACGCGAGGAAGTACCTCGACATCGCGGAGGACTTTGTGAGAGGCGGTGTTGTGAAGTGGATCGGAGAGAGGGATCTTGCGAGAGAATTCAAGGAAGTTGAAGGCACGACGGCGGCGGCAGTCGAGGAGATTGAGGTCGCGGAGGCTGGAGAGGAGCAGACTGTTGGTGAGAGTGAGCTCGAGGTTCCCGCGGAGCAGCTAGAAGCTGCAGAGGGGACAGCGGCAGAGGATGGGAAAGCTGAGACTCCTGTGGACAACAATGTTGAAGCATCGACCAACGAGGACGTTGAGACTGAGACTTCTGTGGGCGGCGAGGCTGAGACGCCAAAAAAGGATGACTTGTAAAATCATGTACCAAATAATTGTAGATCAACTGTACTATCGCTGATGTATAAAAAGCCTAATCACTTGAAGATTGTATGACCGAAAGTTAGGCACAATTTACTAAAAACGCGGTGAGGGCGGTCTTTGGTGAAGGTGAAGGCGCGAATGCCTTCCTTTCTGAGTATCAGTAATTAGCTTTGGGAGGCAGAAGCTCGCCTTGAAACGTTTCTGTCAGCCTAACTACTCAGTATTGCCCAGTGAAGGCATCAGTGACTCGAGAGAGTTGCGGCTCAGAACAGATAAAGACAATGATTGAAGTGAGCATCGTTCAGCATTTATCGTGGGACAGGCAAGGCCCATATTCAGGTCCACAGTGTCACGGTGGCATGCGGAGAAGCAAATGAAAGCCTCGGGACCGGACTACCATACTTGGGCCAAGTACACGGCCTCACTGGCACCACGACAGGAGAATAGGCTTGCCATGATCAGTCAGGCGGTTTAACAGCATGGGACCCGTCTCTGATTAGAGGTTACTTAGAGCTATAAAGATTACATCACGAGAGCCTCATGTCACAGCATTTTGGAACGTTGTTTTTTAACTTGGGAATCACTTCTAGGACTCTATTTTTGTGCTACTAGGCACGTATCATGAGAAGCTTTTTTGACGTAGAATCATCCGGTCCAACCTTCCTCTCGATATTCGTGCTTTCCGCCATATCATAATGTCCTCATGCCACGCAAAGGGAATTCGTAAAGCCGTAGAAGTGAGTGAGCCACAGCGGTTAGGCCGTGGGCGAACTCAGCAACCAACCCTGGTGAGTTAGATCGCTTATTTCTTGCCAGCCTTGGCAGCGGACTTGGTGACCTGGTGATGATGATGTTAGTTGATGGGGAGACATGAGAGTAAGATGAGTTGGATGAACGTACCTTGCCAGCGTTGCCAGCGGACTTCTCGACGGACTTGATGACACCGACGGCGACGGTCTGGCGCATGTCACGGACGGCGAAACGTCCCAGAGGGGGGTAGTCGGTGAAGGCCTCAACGCACATGGGCTTGGAGGGAACCATCTTGACGATGGCGGCGTCACCAGACTTGATGAACTTGGGGTTGTTCTCAACAGACTTGCCGGTACGTCTGTCAATCTTCTCGAGGATCTCGGAGAACTTGCAGGCAATGTGGGCAGTGTGGCAGTCGAGAACCGGGGCGTATCCAGCACCGACCTGACCGGGGTGGTTAAGGACGATGACCTGGGCGTTGAAGGAAGCGGCACCCAGAGGGGGGTCGTTCTTGGAGTCACCGGCGACGTTGCCACGGCGGATATCCTTGACGGAGACGTTCTTCACGTTGAAACCAACGTTGTCACCGGGGAGACCCTCGGTAAGCTGCTCGTGGTGCATCTCGACGGACTTGACTTCAGTGGTGACGTTGGCAGGGGCGAAGGTGACGACCATGCCGGGCTTGAGGACACCAGTCTCGATACGGCCGACGGGCACTGTTCCAATACCACCGATCTTGTAGACATCCTGGAGGGGAAGACGGAGGGGCTTGTCGGTGGGACGCTTGGGGGTGTCGATGGCGTCAATGGCCTCGAGAAGGGTCTTGCCGGTGGACTTGCCAGCCTTGGTCTCCTTCTCCCAGCCCTTGTACCAGGGAGCGTTGGTGGTGGGGGCAAGCATGTTGTCGCCGTGGAAGCCGGAGATGGGGACGAAGGCAACGGTCTTGGGGTTGTAGCCGACCTTCTTGATGAAACCGGAGGTCTCCTTGATGATCTCCTCGTAACGGGCCTCGGACCACTTGGTGGTGTCCATCTTGTTGATGGCGACGATGAGCTGCTTGACACCGAGGGTGTAGGCGAGCAGAGCGTGCTCACGGGTCTGGCCATCCTTGGAGATACCAGCCTCGAACTCACCAACACCGGCAGCGATAATGAGAATAGCGCAGTCGGCCTGGGAGGTACCGGTGATCATGTTCTTGATGAAATCACGGTGACCGGGAGCGTCTGTTTAGTCGAGGTTAGCGACTGAAGGCGAAAATAAAACTTGATCTCGCTCATCGAAGAACGGCAGGCGCTCCTCGAAATGAGAGATATCATGTCAAAGTTGAACTTACCAATGACGGTGACATAGTACTTGGGAGTCTCGAACTTCCAGAGGGCAATGTCGATGGTGATACCACGCTCACGCTCGGCCTTGAGCTTGTCAAGAACCCACGCGTACTTGAAGGAACCCTTGCCCTATGAGGGAGTTAGCAAACCAAATAATGACACCATTGGACAAGGTGTTACTAACGAGTTCGGCAGCCTCCTTCTCGAACTTCTCGATGGTACGCTTGTCGATACCACCGCACTGGTAGATCAAGTGACCAGTGGTGGTCGACTTGCCGGAATCGACGTGGCCGATAACGACGACGTTGATGTGGTTCTTCTCTTCCTTACCCATTTTGGCGGTGGGATGTGATCGAGTTGTGTGTTTGAAAGGTAAAAGCTGCAGAGGCGTCGAGTCAGTGATGATTCTCGCGATGATGTGGTTGATGTGTGAGAAGAGTAGGTGAGTGAGGTAAGGTGAATACTTACTGCACAGGTGATCCGTAAATTTGGATTCGGTATGTACGACGAAGAGCAGAAGAAGGAGGGAAAAGCTTTGCTTTGGTGGGCGAGCGAGGCTTTTGTATGTTTGTGAGTGGAAAAGTTGGGTGGTGGAGTGGGAGTGTGAGAGGGTCGAAGTGGGTTGAGTAGAGGTGGGAGGGGGGAGTGGGCTAGTCCGCCAAAGTCTGCAGGGATGGAAAGGCAGGAAGGTGGGGTCAAAGGCTCTTGCCTGAACGAATTGCCCTAAGGTAGAATTTTTCACTCACAGGCTCGGTTTTTTTGTGGTTGGTTGGGTGGTTGTTGTTTATTCCAACTGTACATAGTAGATGGCTTCTTAGCAGATCGTGGCTCACGGACAAGTAGCGCATTGTACCTTGGTTCAGTCTCGCCACGGCACGAACTAAGCGGGGCCGCTCCAGGCAGGTACGTATCGTGTCACCCCTCCTTTAGCCTCTCCTTCCTGCGCCTAAGGCATGCGACGGGCGGTAAAGCTCATCGTCGCTAACCATGATTATACCGTTCCAGCTGCCTAGACGATTTCTGATGTTCATTCCTATCAACAGAATCGCTATTCTCGACTTTGATTCATTGTCTTAAGACTTCATAAGAGCCCAATCTACCTTTATCCAGCTCTTGTTGCTGTCCCAGGAATTGAGGCAACAGGATGAATGGCATGTTGATGTCACAGGTAAGGGGGCATGGAGGGGCACTCTGCAGCTCTCACCGCGCTCTCTGTGTCGCGGGGGGCGCTGCAAACGATCCTGGCCTATCGACCCCACCGTGGAAGCTCCAGGCCTCATTGCTGCAGATCCCAGTGATGTCAATTCGTCGAATCGCCAGCCCAGCCAAAGTAATGAACAATAACAAACGCATTCATCACGATCAAATTTTCCCTCGGGCACTAGCTAGCCGCCTTCTCTTTGGGAAGGCAAGGAGGGGCAATATGGACCTGCCTGAGTCTTTCCCCTCGTTGTCGGGCCACTTCATCTTTTTTTCATCGTCGGAGTCCACCTTGAGGCAGACCATCGGCCGCGTCTCAAGTGAGAGGTGCCTCTCTCTTTTCGTCCCATCCACACGCATATCTCACCGGCCAGACACAGACAGACACACAGCGCCGTTTGGCACACACACAAAAATTTTCACCAGAGGGAGCGCTTTGTTCCGAGTGACCTCGATCTACTTTGCCAACGATAAGACATCCACAGCTTCGAACTCTGCGGTCTGCCCCTCCACCCCGCCCAATCCCTGTCAGACACACAAGGTAGGTTGCCGCGCAGCCCAACCTGGGCCCCTCCTTGCCCCTCGACGAAGCCCAGGTTTTTTTTTTCTCTCTCTTGGACCGCCAGACCGTCAGAGTGTGTGCCCAACCCAATCGTTCGGCATGAGTCACGTATCTGGCAGTTTTCCCTCTGGCACAGCTACAGCCTTCTCCTGCATACCTTTTTGGTGATACAGGTGCTCGGGGCCCCTCCTCGTAGCATTTTGGTTTGGGGCCGTGGTCGCCGTCGCCGTCGCCATGGTCCATCCCACCTCAAAACCAAGGCTCCTCCGTGGGGCTGGTCCTTGTCTGCCTTTGGTTTCCGTAGGAATTATCGACCATCGAGGGGCATTGTAAATCCTCCTTGTGTTGCTTATTCTTTCATCGGTCAAGGGAATGCCAACCCAAGCGGGCCCATCCATATCTTCTTCTCTCTCACACACAAATGGTCGGTGCATTAACTCCGAAAAGAAATGTGGCTGATGCGGCTTTCTGACGGGGTGCGGGGTTGGAAAAAATCTGATCTCAGAAAGACAAGAGGCAAAAAAAAAAAAAAAGTGTACAGACATGGGTGTCCGACAGATCCTGGCCTCAAGGGTGACGTGCAGGTGAAAGGTACCTAAACAACCCGTTCTAAGCGCCTGCGCCGCCCGTCAAGGGACAATTATCCTCATCCTCTCGCGTTCTCCCAGAGCGAGATTTCCAGGACAGCTAGGTGGTATCGCGGCTGCATGCATATTTGCCATCGCGTTGGCGTCTCTCTCCCGAAATAAAGTGAGAATCTATCGGGCATCCGACCAGATTTCGCAGCAGCAGCAGCATAAACGGACAACGCGGTGCAGTGACACGTAGGAGGGGGGGCGCCAGGACCAAACAAGACCAAGACGAGTGCGATCGCCCGCCCCAGCCCATGCGCAAGACCCCTCTCTCACACGAAGCGCCGCCGAGCCACAGAGAGAAAGAAAAAAAACGAGAGCAGAATGAGGGGTATTCCATGCCATGCCCCTCCATGCCTTTTTGCGCTTGCGATAAGAGGGGCTGAACTCCGAGACACAAAAAAATCTAGCGTCACGTGACAAAGCTCTTCCATCCTTCATGAATGATGTTTAAACCAGCCCATATCCCACGGCAGTTTGGCTAAGTTGATGAGCATCTTTGTTACGGCCCCTGCTGGCCATCTTCCAATAAATCCTAATTGGGAACAGAAAATACGGCGGTGGCGACGGACGGCGTCGGAAACCGCCGGCCCCACCAGGCCGATGAGCAAGTCACATGACCACCCTCAACGTCATCCGACGAAGACCCGCGGGGCAGGCGACGACACTTCGCCAGCGAGTCGCACGCAGGTTTGAAAATTGCTCTACTGCAAAGATCACTTCTATCCCATTTCCATTGGACTAACATGACAGGAATTGACTCGGCAAGTTTGGGACCAATCGAGGAACGACTAATTCGACGCAGTCTACCCCAAGCGATACCATTAGGCCCTGATCCTATCGATAACTCCCTACAGAGCTTTGCTGGACATGGAAGATTCTAACTACTACCGGCTTTCTTCGGTTCTCCGAATACGACGGTTTGCCTCTGTCACTCGTATGTCTACTTCATCGAGGGCAAGTTGAAACACGAACGTACCACGTCGACCGATCTCGAGAACTCACGAGATGATACATAACATTATCACGGGGTTCGCCTCTTTGGGGTGTTTAGACCCCCGAGTGGCTGCACCTTCTGCTTTCGTTGCGAGAAAGCTTTCCAGGCATGAAGTTATGTCGGAAGCAGATAGAGTCGGTATACCATTTGAGGACATCTATCCCTCACTGACACGCGCAAATGCTGCCGTGGGCTATACTTTTATTCTCTCCAATTTCCGCCACGCTTGCGTAGCAGGATTACCTTGGGATGAGGTCAAATTAAGTGGAAGACATAAGTGGAGAGATTTGACGTCGGAAGATCAGGGGATGGAGTGTGGATGCGAGAGACGGAGGTTTCCAGTTCATAGGATGGCAGATGAACGATGAAACGACGTGTTATATTTTTTGGACTTTATCTTCTCTCTCAGCACAGCTAACCGGAATACTTATGAGATCTCCTAACTAGGCTTTTTCCCCTACTTAGAGCCTCTCGCACAGCTCCTGTTTGGCCTGTCCACCATCTTGTCAGGACAGGGATTCCTGCGAGTTAGCAAGTGACCACTTCTTCCATCTTCTACCACACCTCAGAAGCTAGATAATGCCGCGAGAATTTCAGCAAAATTATTGGCCTATTCAGGCATCAAACCGATTTCTCCTGCTGTTTGCAGTATCCGGTGATTACCTACAACGCAATCAGGCGTGCTGAGAGTAGCCATTGGAGATCAATTAGCCGGCACAACTGCTCTGACATATAATAGCCAGAGCACTTGTTTACGGACTCTACCTGAGGTCCAATTCATGAGCCCAGCCACACCGTTGTCATTCTATTGCTCTAAATAGTCTCTTTCCCAGTCAAACCGGTACCAGCTGCCTAAGGTCTTGGCGTCGAGCACTATCAATCGACTGTATTGTGTTATCCAGGCTAATCAGACTGTTCCATAAGTACATGGTAATACACCTCATCACAGCTTCATCAGAATGAAACTTCCGCAGCCGGTATTTGAACCTGCTTACGGAAGAGGCAGTCTAGGTGATGGCTCTAGGCTAACTAAAGCCGTACTTGAACCATTGACGGTGTACATGTCGTGTGGGCAAGTACGATGCTTCAAGGGTCCTGTACATTATTATCAGCTCGCTAGTCCAGTCTGCATAGTCATGAACGACTATAGGAGCTTGGTCTACCTTTAAGAGAAACATCGTGAAGCATCCTCTAATAGACAATACAATGTTGCAGTTTGGTAAAGTCGTCAAAACCAACAGGGTCTTTTAAGGGAAGTGCTTCGGAAAGAATGCTTTGATGGCTACTGCCTCTGGTGTTCTAGCAGAAGCAAGAGGCAGGAGGTCGACGCAGATGCTTCGTCGTTCCTGACTAATCACATATCAAGAGTATTGATGGGAAAGCGCCTCTTTTCTTAACGTCACTTCCAGTGCTGAACTTGAAACGCTCTGGAAAGACTTGCTGTGTATCCTCTCCCCAGTAAATCCATGTTCACGAAACAACAACAAATCCAACGACGACACGTATTCTACCTGTAAACAACATCACCTCTGCCTACCCGCATCTTCTAATTCCTGAACGGCTTTACATTCAAGCAGCTTGCGTATGATCACTCGATACTTGAGGCTTTTGAACAATTCCTCCCGAAACGCACACATCGACACTTTATCTCTCACAACGCCATGGGGTTCCCTTGGGGTATCGTTGTGGTCCTGAAGCGCGACTGGACTCCCATCAGTCGGATTCGCAAAAGATACGAATTTGACGGCTCAGGTCGCCTTTTCTTTACAGAACTCATTGTTCTGCAGAAAGACACCATTGCCTGGCTTCCAAGACAAGAGTCCTTCCGGAAAGCCGGTGACTATCGCGAATGGGTCTACATCGCACTCTATTACCCGTCTCTACCGGTTCTCTTGGATGCAAACGGAAGCGGGAGTATTCATTGGGATTCCTTGGAGGACTACGAACACCCGCATGATGAGCGCCTGGTCGAGATTCCTGTCTCCCATCTCAGCGCTGAGGTCTTTATTCTTCGAGATTTCGTGCCTAGAATGCCTGAACACGATGCTCTAGCTGCCCGATATCCTCCTGGAGAAGTAGGCATCTTCTTGAAGGGCGATATAGCCACGCACGAGGACTTATCCATGCACCCTCCCATGATTCTCAGGGTCCATGGCGGAGGCTGGACTGTTGATGGACAGAGAAGACACTGTCTTATTCCTTATAGCCTTGTGAGGTATGGGCTGCCACCCGGCCCAAAAAATCGAACCTTTGGCCCAAAGCTTTGATCTCACCCCGGAATGTTTGGAACTGGGGACGGCATTAGTTTGCGTCTGTTTTGGTTAGTTGCGCTCTCGGGCTGATGAATCAGATCAGCAAGCTAACGGCGATATAGTCGGTAATGACTGCATGTTCTATGGGATGTTCAAGGGGCAGGAGAAGAGAAGTTGTAACAAAACATTCGCAGGCCAAGCAGGAAATTTCTCTTATGGCTTCCGGAGCAGGATGTATCAACAGAATCCCAGGCTTCGAGGGTCCCTCATTCTGTAGTACCAGTTTGAGGTATAGTTACAATTACCAGGAACTTATGACCAGTGAAACTACACTTCCCTGCAAGACATGATTGAGCCATGTTGTATTATCCTCAGATCTAAATATCAAGGGCGTTTGCAATGTGTTAAAGGCCTCCCCATAGTGTCTCTGTTCCGTAGAACGCTGCTGCTTTTCTCTACTCTTCTGCGAGTGGCGGTCAAAGGCGACAGCCGGGAGTAGCTTCGACTACGCTCACATCGAAGTCAGTCGAGCCTCACTCAGGGTCCTTGTTGCCTTACATCCAGGCTTCGACTGACCTCTGATCTCAAGGCACCACCGGACTTTCCACACGTGACACTCTACCTCCACCACCTTCAATGGAGTACAGATAGAAAGAAGCCTTTATAACCCCCCTCAAGCCCATTTCGTCACCAGCCAGCAGGCGCCCGTCTAGGCCGACGGCTCAGGTCACTAAGGTCGACAATCAATTATACGCCAACCAGCCTACTCGACGACAGACTTAGCGAGTACCGGAGTTGGAATCCCAGCATGAGCACCAAGAGATGTAGCCACATCGGTGGTGAACTCTTTTTTTGTGGTCTTTGATAAATCGGCTTTCTTTAATCTGCTAAGACACTCAAGGCAACGTAAGAAATACTGCTTCTCCTCCGTACCAGACTGCCTGTAAGGCAACCGTAGAGCTCCACCCGTAAGTACTAGATCTGAAATCTCCAAAGCTAGATCTGGTTCTAATCTCCCACGATTCTTTCGTTCATAGTCACTACAGTCATTCGCGAGCGCTCTCGTCTCATATTTACTCCAATTAGCTGGAGATATGGTCCCCCGCCGACAGAACTTCCCCTGGATGCGTTCACCAATGCCAACAACACATTGAGGATATCGTCCTCCGCCTCCTCGCCTCCTCCTGAACAAACTCCTATCGCAAAGCACTCCGGAAGCACCTCGAACATCGCTCCTCGAGTAACAGTTCGGCCCAAGGAAGAATGAAACGAATACAGTGCTAGTTTCGCCTTCCTCGTCCACCCGACCACAAGGCCCTTTCATAGCCTTGCCGCAGGCACCAAGGCCCCTGTCGCCTTAAGTCAGAAGCCGCGAGGTCTATCTGACAGCCCCCTCATCACCATTCGGCCTGTTCAGCAGCTCGAGACTGGCCTCGCCTACATACTCCCCAGGGTCGACGCGAGGGTCGACGTCACCACCCCATTCCTCCGCATCGGTATTCGAATTGTCAAGGACTATGGACCAGGTGTTCCGGAGTTTGACAGCATGACGCCCATCATGCTTAAGACTAGCACAAAGACTAGCACCAATACCACTCAGGCTGAGAAGGAATCTTCCAAGGCCGGCGATATAGCTGTTTGCGACCACTTTGCCATCGACGTGCCCGATATCAACGTGATCAAGAAGCTTTACTCTAGCGCCGGTAAACATTCGGGCTATAGGGCTTTTGGTATCGAGCAAGCTATTCCTCGCGACTTTGTCGAGTATGGCTTGCAGATGACCGGTTCTGTTGCTGTCAAGAACTAGTTCAATGCTTGATTGTGCGTCAGTGTTGACATTCGGTAAGTGATATTGATTCTTGGACATGGGTAGAGTTTAGTTCTGACATATACTGCTAGATTTGTACCATTGCCTGGTCTGCATTCCGAGACTCAACTAGAGCCAAAACCGAGAGAGGAAGCTGCACTGGATTGGGGGTAACCAGAAGCCTTTCGGAGTGATCAAACAGCGTACACGTGGAGGATACGGATGGGGAGTGAGAAAGGTGTCCTTCACTAAAGATTCCTTACTGAATACTACACCGACGAATGTCTGGAATATACATCGTGATGTGGTCTCCGTCAGCTTCGTAATTCTATCAATTTTACCTTGTCCTTCACTTCGAACCTTGCCCGCGTGGTCTTTTGAGAAACACCTCAGTATTATCAGTGCTTCAAAAAATTTCAAGCTCCTTCCTCCGCATCCATCTTGCCGGGTAGCAGAAAGGAAATCTCTTTTCTAAACTGTCAACTTTCTGGTTCTCCCATCCACTTCACTCGCCAAGAACAGCAACTGCGAAAGAATCAGTCTGCTTTCCCAATACTTTCGAACAGGTAAATTTGCAGTGTCTTTATTTCGTAACCACAGCCTAACCAGCCTATAGCCGCCTCAAATCGAAGCTGAAAATCGACTGTCACCATGGCTACCGAAAGAGCCGTCGCCGTCCAGCTGACGGAGGACTGGACACTGGAAAAATCATCCCTCGCCTTTCTGTTCCATCCGAGCACTCAGCCCTTTCGAGAACTCAAGAAGGACACCTGGGCTTGGCTTCATATTAGTAAGAAGATCGATGGGCATGATGGCAATGAGTGGGCCATCATCACACCCCTCAAATCGACATCGGAAGGACTCGTCGAGATGTTTCCTGGCGATCATTCCAAAGTCGAGATTCCGTACAAATTTCTTCGAGTCGGACTCCGCGTCATCAAAGATTGCGGACTCAGCTTTGGCGAATCCGACCTGGCAAGACAGGTGAATCCCACAAAGGCCTTTAGAAAGAACGACATGCTCGTATGCGACGAACTTGGCACCACCCTGCCGGCTTTGATCAAGGTCAAAGTAGCCACCCTCAGTGCTCAACATGGCTTCAAAGCAGCACCGCCACTTTACACTATCAATAGCAGCTATGTGGACTACGGCTATGAGAAGGCCGATAACTGCGTCAACAACCGTCAGTTGGGAAAGCGAAGTGCGAGTCAGATGAACTAGAGTCTGCTACATGATGCACCCTGAGCATGGACTCTCTCGTGGAGACCTATGCTACTGATGGATTCAATTTTCGGGCTGGTTCATGTGACTGCATACTGAAGGCTCCGGCTCTTGCGCCTGGGATTAACATTGGTGGCTAGAGAGTTGAGTGAGCACCGAGGCTTTCCCAGCGGTAGCTACCAACAGGCGAAGCAGGTCAGTTGAGAAGGAACAAAGGTCAGTTCTAGCGATCAAGAAAAAGCAACCTTGGGGATTCAGTCTATAGAAAATACAGAAAATCGCCGGGAGTATCAAAGAAAACCCACAATATGCCTCCCACCCGTGAACGCCGAATCATGTACCCAATTCTACACAAAAAATCATTCCGATCCATCCTTCTCTTTCGATTCCTTATCTCCCTTTGATCCCTTGATCTTGTCCCAAACCTTTCCAAACTTATCCTTGAGCCAATCCCAAACTCCAATCATGGCTTCCTTGCCCTTCTGCATGGCGTCTTCATCGGCTCCGTCGCTCTCTTCATCATCTCCTTTCTCGTCATCGTTTGACGCCGGCGCGGAAGGCGTTGGCTGGGGAACGGGGTCCACCTGAATGGACTTATCAGGGGTAGCCGACTGTCCCGCTGGTGGTGTGCTGGCAGAAGCGGGGACCTGGGTAGTGGTGTACGGGGGCACAGGGTCCTCGGGCTCTGGGGGTGTGTCCTCGGACTTGTGAGTACCCATAGTGGTGAGCGGCAGGCGCAGAGTGCCGTTGTTGGGCTCTGGAATAAGACCGACGGAATCGCAAAGGATGTTGTACACGTTGATGTTTTCTACCGACGTTAGTCCAAGCTCATAGTATGACACGACACTTGCGGGTCACACTTACGAAAGTTGTCGATCTGGCTGTTTGGCGGATGCGGGAAAGCCGGTCCGCGGGCGATGAAGATGGCGCGCATGAGGGGATGCTCGTGATCGTATCCATGCAATCCGCGGGGGTTGTAGACCGTACCATCCTTCAGCGCCTTTTCCACATCCATCTCTTCTTTTGTGACAATAGCCCATCCAGCTTTGGGAACGATCCACAGGGGTGCAATACGCTTGTTCTTGGAAAAGTGGTAGCGCTCGGGCATGTTGACGTCGCGGAGGTAGACCTCAAAGTTGGGATTCGTCTTGGACTTCTCGACCAAGCCATCATATAGCCCCTGAAGGTCATCTGGGTTCTTCGGTCGAAGACCGTATAGCGGCCAGCCGTCGGTATGCTCAATCTTGGAGGTGTCAACGAGGTCCTCAAGCTGAAGCAGGCGCGCCGTATCTGTTGTGGCCATGCCGTGATCGGATACGACAATGACGTTGACAATGTTGGTAAGGTTGCGCTGCTCGAGAGCCAGGAAGAGCTGATCCATCATAGCATCGGCCGACTCGATGGAAACCCGGATCTCCGTGCTGTTCGGTCCGTATCTATGGCCGTCCGCGTCGACGTTGGGCACATAGGCAGCGATGAGCTGTGGGCGCATGTCTTCGACCTTGGCAGTCTTGTCTTCCATGCCCGGCTTATCAAGAAACTCGAGGATCCTGCTGACCTTGTTGTCTAGTACTTCTTTGCCATTGAACTTGTCGAGGAATGTTGGCTCAACACCGAGGATGTGCGCTTCACTGCCCGGCCACATGTGGATCGCGGAACGAATACCCTGCCTCTCGGCTGTCACCCAAAATGGCTCTCCACTCCACCACTTCGCATCGAGACTGCGTGCTGGGTCGGTATAGTAGAACTCGGCCTGCATGTCCGGATCCCAGAAAGTGTTTCCAACGATACCGTGACTCTCGGGGTGTAGGCCAGTCGCTAGCGTGTAGTGATTCGGGAATGTGACGGACGGGAAAGCCGGGAGCATGTACTTTGGCGAAACACCCTCCTTTACAAAAGCGTTCAATCTCGGTGTGATCCCGCGCTGCAGAAAATCGGCGCGGAAGCCGTCAAGACTGATAATGATCGTCGTCGGCGCGAAGAGCGCCGTGCCATTGCTGACGAACTCGGCCTTGTGTGCTGACCTACTGCCGATTGACAACTTCCACGCCACCAGAAACAGGATCGCGAAACCGACGGCAATCATGCTGTGTATGAGCAGCCAACGGCGCCAAGTCCTCCTCTTATCGGTCTTCGCATTGGTCACAATCTTGAGTCTCTGTCGATCGAGTTCGTCGCTATCGTCCCTTTCGCTGCTTTCCCCGGTCGAGCTCCCCTCCTTCATGGCCCCTTCCTCCATCTCATACATCAGCTCGCCGTCCTCGCCGTGGGTCGCCTTCTCCAGCAGCCGGTCCTTCTTCTGTTTCCTCCTCATACGTCGCTGTTGGCGTCTGTCCTTTTCGTCAAGGAGATTTTCGGATGAGCCATCTCTGGATCCGGGCCGTTGGCCGTCTGGGCCTCGACCGAATAGCTTCAGGGGATTCGGGACAGCGAGGCCAGATCCTCGGCGTTGCAGCTCCTTTTTCTTGCGTGTTTCCTCTACGAGACTCTCGATCTCCTCTTCTTCCATAAAGACTAGACTGTCGGCGGCACGCAGCTCGCGGCTGTTCCGCGCACGCAATTGCAATTGGTCATCGTCACTGTCGCTGTCCTGGTCGCTTCGCGTGCTGTGGATGGATGAGGCGTCGTCGTCATACGTATCGGGGGCAAGGAGACTCGTGTTGTCGCGGTCCGCCCGGGACCTTGCGCTGGGACGGCGTATCGACATGGTTTGACGGGAGGTGCCGGAGGGCAAAAGGCGAAGTATAGATCGTTCCTAGGTCATGGACCCGTGATGTTTGTGAGACGTAACCTCTTCTTGCTTGAAGTAAACGCCGAGCCGAACAATTCTTCCACTTAATTTCTTTGGATTCCAAAATCGCAACCGGGACTCGAACCCCTGTGACGGACCACCTTGATGGCAACATTAGCTTATCGCAGCGATAGAGTCACGTGGCGCTCCGCTTTGCTGCATCCCCCGTTTTCAGGGTCCATCACTCGACCTGTCACTGGCCCGTCAGTCTGGAAACGGGGCCGAGCACGGCGTGGCTCCGGTCCGCATGACCCACTTGGTGTACAGGCTAAAATGAGCTCTATTCCCGGGGTTCTCCTCGGACTCACGGCCAATATTGGGGTCACCTTAGTCTATGACTTCTGTCCATCTGCCTCTCTTACCTGAGCGTGCCTTTCGACGTAGTGAGCATCGCCTACTAGGCACGATCTCTACATACTTTATAGCATCACTGGCGTAATTTTGTACCCAGAGCACTTAGTTCTCACTGTTGACTTCGTTCCTCGCCTATGGGCCTCTCTACCAGCATAGGAAAGCCAATACTAGTTCGACGGCAGAAGCCGCTGCTTTGTCAAGTCTGTCACGGCTGGAATATGCGCTAGTCTATTTTCTAGATTCAATAAACCAGCTCGAAGTCGTGTGGCTGGAGAGCTGAGCAAGTGGGATACCTACACAATAGGTACTAGGTTGTTGCTCAATACCTTACCTCTCTTTTTAGCGTTCCTATCACTGCTACTGCTATTACTACTATTCCAATTTCATGTTGTTTCCATACTCATTGAGAATCACGCTATGAAAAGCGTACTACGATGATCGTAACTATCGTAGTAGTTTTAAGCAAGCTGACAGCCAAGAGGCGCATTAACCAGCATTCCAGTTTGTCAACCGCTTACTTAGCCATCCAATACTCGACAATATCGGCATCCTTGCACGCTGTGTGAATAGTGGCGGATGGCGTCACATTCCTCTTACTAGCATCGTGTCGGGAAAAGAATCGAGGTCAGAAACACGTCTCAGTGTAGGCGTTGGAGCTCGTCTCCAAGGTCTTCCTCGGAAAGCCTATCGTGAATGATGGTAGTTGGTAACACAATCAGCCCTCAGCTGGGAATACGACCTCATATTGTGTCTCCTGTTGCGTCCAGACCGCCGATAGTCCATGGTCAGAGGCCTCAGCAGTCGAAAAGCACCAGCCTCAGCACGAAAGGCATGGTTCCTGTTCGTGACACAAGCCGGCGCCACCAAGGAAAACGCGGAAGCTGCGCTCACACTGATTGGCGGCCTTGAGAAAACAAGCAATTTTTATAAGCTTACCCTCTCCTTTCTGTCTCATCACCCTCGTCTCGTGATCCCCCAGGTTCTGCAGACGTGAATCAGAGGGAAACAGATGTAGTCGGAGGGCCCTGTCAAGGTCTCCGAGGTTCCCCCTGAATAGTCGTGGTGGTACTCTACTATTAACTCTGGTGTAAAGGAGGTCTAGGAGTTCATCGTATCGAGTCTCTCACTGGTGATCTTCAAAAGGATCAAAAAGCTCAATGGAATTTCAGCTATTTCATCCTAGGCGGTCAGCCAATTAAGGTTCTAGATACACAGTACGCCGCTAGCCTATCAACCTCTTGGAGAACTTTCGTTACCTTTGTGAACTGGTTCTCAAGCTTCGCCGACATGTTCCGGCGACATGTATCGATTTCCCTCCTTGAACACCAGCGTCGTTTTTCGGACGCCATCTTGGAGCCGTGATGGCGGGAGCCCGAAGAGTGCATCGAGCCCAATCATCCGCTGGGAACCCCATAACGAGGTCTTTCGGCGCTTCTCTGAGGATGCGACAGAAGACGAGAGAGGAGCTGATCGCATGACATTCGAGTAAGTTTGCTCCGAGGAGGCGGCTATGTGTTGGAAACTCGGGCTCTTCCGTTGGAAGAACTGCATTGTTGTCAGCGGTTTCGCAAGGAGTACTGGCTGAAAGACATCACAGAAAAGCCGAGATAGCATACAGAAACGCCGTAAATTCACTTCACTCTTATCTCAATAAGGATGAAGTTGCCACAGTTCTATCCCAGAGTACCGTTGGCAAGCAGAGTGACCCCAAAGCAGATCTTCATCGGATTGCTTGGGACATACAACGGACTAGAGAGGCGAAGCTAGGGGAGGGAAAGACGAAGAAACTGATCGAGTGCTTGGATCATTACCAGGGAGTCTTTGATATTCTGTCACAAGCAGAGTTCTCAGGTCTACCGTTGATCTGGGGCGGTCTGAAGTTTGTACTACTGGTAGGAGATCACCACTTTCTGCAGATGACATCTGTTCACCGGAAAAATAGGCGACGAAGAACAACTCAAACGTTCTCTCCAAAGTCATCGATGTGATGATTGACATTGGGCGGGACCTGGAAAGGATACGAGGGTACATTGCACTGTACCCGACTCCGCGAATGCTTGAGTTCTCGTCCGAACTATATGCGGCGATCGTTGAGTTTCTGGACAAGGTCATAAGAGATGCGAAGAATGCAGAGAAAAGTATTCTCAGTTAGTTGTCAAGCCAAGTACTTTAGATGACTTTCTAACTACTTACCAAAGTACAGAGCGCGCGATGACGACCTTCTTACAACCCTTTGAGATCAGATATGGAGAACTAGTGGCGAAGATGAAGAAGACACAACGAGACATCCGCGAGGACGCAGAGCTATGTTTCCATATCAGGCAGGCAATGGTAAACCACGCCATAGACAGATACCGGACTGTACTGCCGCTTCAAAGGCATACGATGCGCCAGGCTTTCAAATGTACGTAAGGTGACGTTGTGGGAACGGAGATATCCTGCTAACTTGTCCTAGCCGTCGCCGAAAACCCTACAGCAGAACTCTTCCAAGCGATACAGAAGAATCTATTCAAGAATTTCGAAGTCCAAGCCGGATTCCACCAGGAGCTGCAAGCCACATACGAGGTCACCACGTCAAAAGCGTGGATCGAATGGTTCAGCATGGAGCAGAAATATGTTCCGTCGGGATATTCCCATGAGACAAAAGTTATACAGGCAGAGTGCGACGCCCCGGATCCGCAGCACGCATTGGTTTGGAAGAAGCAGCAGCGCAAGTTTGCGTCGCACGTCCCTTCGGCGTATTTGATCTGGACGCGCGGGATGACAGCACAGTCAGCGATAGCGTCACTCGTGGACCAGATCCTCGTCCAGAAGACAGAGGTCATGATTGACGCCGGGATCGACTTGGACCAGTTCAAGGAGGCTAACAACAGTGTGGCGTCCCTCTGGAACTTCTTTTCTTACCTTACAAGGGTCCTCGAAGGTTGCATGATTTACATCACCATCGGATCCGTCGGGAAGCAGGAGTTTGCCATTGTCGGTAAATTTGTACGGATGGCGAAGATTTGGAAGGGACCGCCTGTCAATGTGACGCTCATCCATCCTTTCAATGACAACTTTGCAAGAACGGATGATGTCGTAAATCTCGATGACAAGTACGATGTTCACCCGCGACTCACGACAACAGACGCGATGCACCACGTGCTGCTACTGGAAATAAATCCTGAGCGGAAGATTTCGGACACTATCCGGAGCCTTCTGTGGGAGACCGTCTGGCGGGAAGTACGATACGCCGTCATTGGTATTGCTCTCACGCAAGTCATAGAAAAGATACACGACGCGGCGAAAAGAGCCGCCCGAGAAGCGCCGGTCAGAAGTCAGTCGTTCTTTTCAGAGACTGAAATTGAACGATGGGTCACTGTGGTTGGAAAGTGGACAGCGGCCACCTGGTCGATGAACTGCATGCGAGAGCAGATCCAGCGGCACATCGACATTGTCGACATTCATCTCCCCCCCGAAAGGAAAAAGCGGCTCAAGGGCAAGTTGTCTTTGCTGGTATTTGAGCAAGACGAGGAGCTTGGCTCGCAACTAACGTTTGCGCAGCGGGAGGCAATATGGGTCGATGTGCAAGAAGCCATAAAGCCAGGGACGGCTGAGATGTTTTGTGAGAATGTAGAGAAACTGATGGCTGCGATGCTTGAAGACTATCGCAATGAAGGCTCGGGAGGAAAGGAAAGCGCGAAAGGCTTGTCTTTCCCTCTCGTCGATGTATACTTTGGTAAGGGCGGGCGGTGGAAGGATTCGTTTCCTGGAAACCAGGAGTTGGTCGCTGATGTAATGACGAATGCCATTGAAATCGGATTTGTCGGTTTGATCAAAGCGCTGGCGTTGCAAGAGACGGAAGAGTAGAATGATCTTTGTGTTGACACCCAAAACTCTTGAGTATCTATGGAGAAACCGCAACTTAATGAGATCATCAATGATATGCTTTCCCATAGCCATCTAGCACCACGCATAATACTCATTATCCTCCCACACGACCTCACCCTCGCCCTTCCACCGCAGACTGGGAATGCTGCCATCGAGTCTCTCGTCAAAGACGACTCGCACGGCACCCTCAGTCCTGTCACTCACCCTCTTGGCTGAAGCCGAGACGCCCTCATCAGGGTTCCAGACCAGCACCTTGGCGAGCCCCCATTCGGCGGCCTCAATCACCGCAGCCTGCAGCAGCGCGGTCACGTCGGCCTCCGGGTCACCAGCCACGCGGAGGACCTTGAGCTTCTTCTCGCGGAAGTCGTGGTCCCAGTACACCCACGCCTTACCGTCAACGGTAGCCGCCCCGCGGTGCGTAATCTCGCGACCGGCGAGCTGCTTGGCCATGAAGCCGTCTCGCGTAAAGTGCCAGAGCATCTGGTCGGCCGAGGGCGCGAAGGCGACGTGCGTCTTTCCGTCCTCCGGAAGGTTCGCAAGCTTCTTCTTTAGGAGCTTGACGTCCTTTTCGCAGTAGGCGGGGACGTCGCTTTCCTCGAGGTATCGCACACCGTCGGGTTTGCGTAGGACTGAAGCATCGTCCGGGATGAGGGAGACTTGGAGTGACGGGTAGACGGCCCAGCCGAGGCGGGCGTAGTATGTGAGACCAATGTCGCTGTAGAGCGCGCTGGCTTTGGAGTCGGCGTCCATGGCTTCCTTTAGGCTGTTCAGTAGCCGCGTTGCCATGCCGTGGCTGCGGTAGGTCGGGTTAGTGTAAACGGAGGCGATGGCGTAGGCCTTTTCCTCGCGGGGGGTCGAAGAGGAGGCATCGCGGACAAGGAGGGTCTTCGCGGTTGCTTCGCAGGATGAGATGATGTGTTCGGGGTCAGCCGGGTTGAAGAGGACGTAGTAGTTGCACTGAGATGAAAGGGCCGTCTTAGAGAGCGCGACTTCGCGGGCCATGTAGTTCTCAAGGGACATTGGAGGGGCCCATGAGACGCCGTTGAGGCGCCATGCGGCCTCACGCTGGGCGGGTGTTGAGGAGGCGAACTTGATTTCCTTTTCGGACCCGTGTTGGGTTACGATGAGGTCGGCCATATTAGGCTGCGCAGGTGAAAGTGATTGAGTGACAATGAAGGATAAGTTTGTAGATGAAATTAAGGCTGTTTCTCGGGTGGTGAGATGAGATGGCAGTAGTGAGTGGCTCGGTGACTTGCGTTTCAGCTAGGACACCAACAATCAAACTTTCTGAGTACGGCCGAGAACTGGACTTCTGAGTCCTTATGAGAAGTGTGACAAATGGCTATCTGAAGTAATAGAAGCAAGTGAAGCTGAAAAAGACTCGACTTGACGTGGGGGGCCTCATAGCAGATTCGCGGGGCTGAGTGGGACATCCCACAGCGGGGTTAACAAGTACCCAGGTCTGGTTAGAGCCACGCCCTACCACTGCGGGAAATCCTAGTCACAACGGCCACAACCAGCCAAAAGGCGTACATGTCAGTTTGGCTGGCTTGCCTCTCGTTCATTTATGTTGAATAATGACCTGGCTCAAGTACAACTATAGCCTCAGTGTAACCTCGGAAAGGGAAGTTCAAAGTTTATCGAAGGCATGTGAAGAAACTGTTTGACACCGAAAGCCTCTAGGTGATTACAACTGAAGCCGATTTTCTGTAAGGCCTGCTCAGTTGAGCTCTTATCTCTCAGCGAAATATTGCCCCTCCGACCAGGCATATAGCACCATGAGAATCGTCTTGTTACAATTAGGCGGTTTCATCTCTCCAAGTGGTAAGCTCTCAAAGTCTACCACTTGGAGGCATAGGCCCGCTGGCCAGATACAGGCTCGGTTCGACGTTTGTATTGTTTGAGTGAATGCCGCCAACAATTCATTCGTACTCAAAGGCAACGGAAATGGTCTCAAACAGGAACTCATCACTTGACAAAAGGAAGAAGAAAAAAGGCATGCATGGTTCTAGCGATTGTGAATTTGAGGCCACCTCCGATGTCGCTCCGGCCCGCGGATCTGGGCCGGAGCCGGAGTGGGGCTGCACGGCATCGCGGACTAAGGCTCATGTAACCGAAGTCAGATGTATCCGTGATTATAAGGTTCCAAGTGAAGAACGGAAAGAAGCGCAGCAAGTAGCAGAAGTTGAATTTGACTAGCCTCACACCAGACCACGCCTCATTCTCAGGTTTGAATTCTGCTTGATGTACTCACAGCCAGGCTCGCTAAAGAAACCTTCAATCCATCAACACTACAGCCCGTTCCGCACACTTCCTTTTCGCACCATTTTGTCGGGACTGGTCCTCCAGGCTTCAAACGCTGTTCAACCTGTCGCACACAGTTGAGACGCGCGGAACAACTACGCATTTCCAAATCTTGAACGGACAATCATATCCTTGTTAGGTGTCGTTCGATAAGGGACTCGCGATTCGGCGGGAAGGTCTCTGGTTTTGGGGTCGCGGAAACTGTACCAAGACTGACGCATGAAAAGGCTACGAAACAATGTGTCAGTCAAAGATTGGGGGTGTAGAGACGTAGATTGTTACTTACGCTTGGCCTGGGGTGAAAGATAGGTTCTTGTCACTGCATTCACCATCAGCATCACCGTTTCATCACGTGCGCAGGAAGATTCAACTCACCACGACGAGTAAGCCATATAATTCCAAACCAGATCCTCGCCCGGGAACTCAGGGCACGTGTCCTTGGCCTTACACGCGTAGTTCTCGTGCCGCGACTGCGGCGTGTCCGGGATGTAGTCGCCGTTGGGGATCTTGCAGGAGCCCTGGAACGGGTGGTAGAGCCCCAGCCAGTGTCCCGTTTCGTGAATCACGGCCTTTGCAAACAGAGTGCCGTCAAGAGCGCTGTGGCCGATGACGACGGCGTCTCCATCGAACCACGTCCCTGTTGCTCCCACGATACCGAAAGGATTTGTCAATAAGTCGGGAAAGGCGGCGTATCCAAGGAGGCCTGTATCCAATTTCGGCACAATGTAGAGGTTCAACGTTTCAGGTCCACCGATGCGAAGCGCTCTCTGCATTTCCCGGGTCTTGTCATGCCGGTGCTCCATGTGGTTCATGTTGGCGTATGTGTCGTTGGCGACCTCGTATGTCTCGATCGGGCCGAAGGTGATGCCGTGCTTAGCGTAGCCTTCGTTGAGAGTGGTCCCAATATGACGGATTTCGATTTTCTAGATAAATAATCCAAGTCAGTATATTCGTTCGCAGGAAGACTTGAAGTCATGGGGTTTTCCTCTCATGAGAAGGTGGTGGGATAGTTACATATTTGACCGAACTTCGCTGTTCTTCCGTTCCGACCAGGAAGACATTGATAGGTATGTGAATCGAGGCTTGTTCAGTGTTCAAGGAGCGCTTAGAGAATGCCTCAAGAGCGGCCAAGTCGTCCTCTCTTCCTATCGCATGAACCTTCTCATCCTGGCCGCACCAGTTGAGGGGGTCCCTTGCATTATCCAGAGAAGGACGTTGAGATGCTTGGGCAAGTGCGACGCTGAAAAGCGATGCCATGCACAACATAGGGAGAAGAATGGTCCGGCAGATCATGATGGGCGTGACTGAAAGTTCAGGACGACTGATCAGACATTCAAGCGATTGTTGAAGGGATTGACCTGCGTTTTGCCAAAGGCACTGAGTAAATGACAACCAGGACTGTGTGCTGCAACTCAAAACCTTCACATTTCGTGACCCTCATAGGGTTTGAATGAATAAACGGGATCTGTTTTCTGATTGTGTAGAAGTCTAAACTACCATGGAAAACAAGTTGCAGTCGCAAAGGTTACGAGGCGTTGCGTGAAAACTCTGGCCTTGGAGGCTCAGGCCAAACCAACCCTTGTGGTCTTTCCGACTCAAAAACTTTATTCCAGGCTGACTTTCATCTCCCAGGGTCATAATGTTCATCAAGAGCCGCAATGTTTGGTTACACTCAGCTCAACCCTGTCCTCCGCGGCTTCGAAAGTGTAAGAGACAGAATGAGGCAATATCAAGCCGACTGGCCCCCAAGCCAACGTGCACTCTCCCAGCTGCATCGAGTTGGATGTCGGATTATAATTAAAGAGTGTATGTGTTTGAAGGAGCACAAAGTCGCGGTGCAGGATCAATGCATGGTCGTACTATTGGCCAAATGAACCTGGTAACAGCGCAAGTGCGGCTGGTCATCTGATGGAAACCACCAGGCTTGGCAAGAACGTGTATGCATATGGTCCGATGTAAGACTGCAGCCATGCGCCCGTTACGGGTATATGAGCGCTCGAGTGATTTGCAGTAGTCGTGGTAATAGGGTAGAAGGATCAGCAGGAGGCTGACGCTAGCCCGGAGCTCCAAAGTTCCATGTGACGCGGTAGAGCGCGAATTGTCTGACCAATTGAGTCTTTTGTATCTGCAAAAATAACTCAAGCTTTCTTCAAAAGACGCTTGAGTAGATTCTTGCTCGACGATGATGAACCTGTAGAAGTCTACGTTAGAGAACTAGGTCCTAGAGTTATTGAAGCCAGACATTCCTGATCAGAGTAACCGGTAGGCCATACGAGGCCGAAGGTAATGAGATAGGAGACTCGAAGAAGAGTAGACTGCAATAAGTGAGACAACTTACCAGAGATGTCACCGTTGGCTTCGTTCTTCTCCTTGGACATCACAGGAACGCCGTCCTTGTCGACGAGCGTTGACTCTGAGGACATGGCGCCGACAGTTGCTCGCGGTGCCGGTGCAGGCTGGCGAGGCCTACGAGGCATGGCAGAAGCCTGCATGTGAGGGATCACAAAAGCTGATTCGTAGAAGGAGCCAGACATCGTGCTGCTGTTGTTCTTGTTGTCGCTTGTCTTGCTGTTGTCTGTCTTGTCCCGGAGGATGGCCTTGAGGTATTGCTGAGATTCGATGGAACTCATGTGGAGGAAGGGGAGTAGTAGTAGTAGTAGAACGGCGAGGTCGTTGACTTGGTGGTTCTTTGAGGTATCGTCAATGGATTTGTAATGTACTCAATGTCGTGCTTGATTTGCTTGCTAATATACGGTTTAGATCTAAGACCCCGGGAAGGAGGTCGTGGGCCGCGTCTTTTATACATCACGAGCCTGATGTTGATTTCCAATGCAAACGCGGCTTCGGCAAGGCCAGTCCCCCTTTGACTCACTCAATGGCACGAATGCACGTCCAATGTACATGGCATCATGTCAAAGGGCGCGGTTTGTGAGTCGTAGGTCAAAAATGTTCACATTGGTACAAGTCTTGTCAGTGCTAGTGTCTGTTTTCGACGGGGGGTCAGACGGGGGGATCGTTGCCGAAGTGGAGGTGCCCGCCGGCTTTCCGACCTAGGAGGGAGATTCCTAAAACCAATCACGCCTCGTTCCCAATCCTCGGGGCTGAAAGTTGCATCGTTCGGTTGGTGAGGCCCTTGGCGGAGAGGCTTGCACGGCCAGTCGTTTTGGGCTAGACCTGCACGACCAGTCACTTTCAACTTCAGGTTTTGTTCGTTGTTCGGTCAGTCAAGTCGGGCTAGAGGGTGGAGGTCTTGAAGGAGTCAAAAGATGAGATTTTAGTCATCGTGCGACGGCTTGAGGAGGTGGGGACGAACGGGCTGAGAGGTTCCACTTCCGAAGCCGAGTCCAACCGCCCGTGCCCACGAAGCCGAAGCCGAGACTTCACATCACCAACTTCATGCGGTCAACAGTCGAGCCGATGCCGTGTTGTTGATGAGAATTTCCAATTCACTTCCCGAAGTTTCTCTTACGAAACATTCAACCTTGTAATACGGGTACATTGCGGGCTTTCGATCGGTTCCCTTGAGTGAAGGAGAAGAATTCTTGTCTTCCCCCAGATGGATTCAACGCAAACACCACCCCGGCTCTTACTCCGAAAGAACGGGCGGCCGCAGGCTTGTGAGCCGTGCCGAAAACGCAAAGTAGCCTGCGATCACGCGCAACCAATATGCAACAGATGCAGAAAGTCGAAGCGTCCCGGGGAGGTGTGCGAGTACATCCTCGGTGACAATCCGGCAACATCAAACGAAACTCCAAGGCAGGCCCGGCCGAGAGAGCAACGTCGTGCTTCCAGAGCGCCGTCTATTCCCCTGACTTCGAACTTTCAGCCCACCGTCATACCGATATCGCAATTAAGTCCAAGACCAACGGCGGTATCGCGGACGGCATCAACGGCAACAGCGACAACCTCGCCCGCGAGATCCACGACCCAGCACCGCCCCTCGATCCCTGCAAGTCTACCCACCAGCCCGGACTCGGCCGGCACGGCAGCCACTCCGGCCGTCACGCCGGCCGTCCTCGGCATCGGCTACCTCGGCTTCACCTCCTTTTGCGGCATCTACGAAGAGACTCGCTCAAGTCTAAAGCAGCTCCAGCCGTCCAGCGCGGCGCCCATCGGGGAGATCGGGACTACCGCCTACTGCGGGCTCGAGTGCTCTCCGCCCCTGACGGCTCAGGCGCTCGAAACATGTCTGACTATCCTACGCCACGTCCCGGACCGCGAGACGGGGCTCAAGCTGTTCGACAGCCACTTAAGCCCGAGCGACGGGTGGATCCGCCTAGCGGCAAAACACATGATGATATCGCTGTACAACACGTTTCCGCAGTACTTTCCCGCCGGCGAACACGGCCGACGGCCAGATGATGCCCAGCTCACTGCGCTTGCACGTACTATCTGCGGAAACACCGCAAAGTGCTTATCTGACGAGGAGTCCGACCCGGCCAGGTGGATGGCGCAGTTCACCGGCACCAATTTGCGATGGGAGTCACTGGGCGTGATGTTTGTGTACTTGGAGCTGGCGGCTCGTTATCTCGGACCGTACCGGCCGGACGTCGGCTCCCGGTTTCAGTGCGTGGATGAGGGGACGAAGGTGGTCATGCAGTATCGGTACTGTCTTGGTGCTTGTATAGAGTTGACCAAGGCTGCCGGTAGTGGGGGAAACACGTTGCTCCTCTTCATGTGTTCGAAGCGCACCATCATCGAGTCGCTCTTCTCGGGCGATGCTAGTAAGTCGCGTCTTTCACGTCTTTACTTTAACCCTCGAAGGCTGGTTGAATCCCTACCAATGGTGTAAACAGTGATCTTAATCTCTGCAGGAATGCCTACTAAAGCTTCGTCGTAGGCTTCGCTTGCTGGCAACTCCACGCAGAGACAGTAGCCCTATCAACATTCCTCGGCTTCCACGACGAAGTCGCAGCGGCGCCGGGGGCAGGCTACAAACCAACCGTCTGCTCCGAGATCAAGCGCAAACTCTTCTCCTACGTCTTCTATGTAGACAAGGTCCTGGCCTCATTCGCCGGCCGACCACCTCTCATCAGCCGCCGATACGCGCGCACACCACCGCCTCTGGACCTAAAGGACGACCACCTCCTCTCCGACGAGGCCTCGCTGGCGCGCCATGTCGCCGCACTCGATGAAAACGGATGGAACACCAAGGGCGAGCTCTACTCTGCCACCATCGTCCGGGCCCGCGTGATGCTTGCACATATCCGGGACGAAATATTCGAGATCGCGCTCGGACAGGGTTCCGTGACGCTGGTTGAGACGTTGTTGTGAGTGATGATTGTGGCAGTTGTCACTTACACCTGTCTACGTGAAATACATGATTACGTTGCTAATATTCATCCTCCAGAGAAATCAAAGAAAGACAACTTCGGACTGTTGCTGGGTTCCCCGATATCATGACTCTGAGAGAAGAAGACGTGCAGAACAGGAAACTCGACATCTCGTTACTGTACACCCGACTCATCATGAAGCTGGAACACCTCCAAAACATGTTCTTCATCGAGCGGTTACTCGCGAAAAGAGGCCACGATGACGGCGCATTGCTGTCTGTCAGCTTTGAAATGGTTTCCAAGACCCTCATGTTCTGGACAAACATGGATCGTCTATCTTGCATGAACGGTGACTTTGAATGGCTCGTACGTGTCGACCCCCCCCCCCCCCCCCCCCCCCCCCCCCCCCCCCCCCCCCCCCCCCCCCCCCTCCTCACACAAACAAAAACAAACAACAAACAAAACCACGCCACCCCCCCCCCCCGCACCCCCCCCCCGCCGCCCCCCCCCCCCACCCCACCCCCCCCCCCCCCCCCGGAACATCCTTCCTCTTCCAATACCTCTTGCACTTGGGAACAAACACGACGAACACTTACACATTCAACTAGGTGATGGCCTACGCGGCTCCCGGAGGCGGCATCCTCTGCATGGAACTCCTAAAACCCACCCTCCAAGGCGGCCACCACCCGCAGAACCCCCAAGTCTCCCGCTCGAGCATTATCCAGAAGCTGAGCCTCCTCGTCGGCTTCCTCGACTGGGTCAGCCCCACGGCGCCCAACGGCGACCTCTGCGCCGACTGCAAGGTCATCATCCAGCGCGTCCTCGACCAGGCGCTCAACAGCCCCGCGGCGTCGGCCTCGTCCGCCGTCGACGGCGGGTTGCCCGCCGGGGTAATGCTGGACGTCCCCATGGACTGGGATTTCTCTACGCAGCTTGATTTCAACTTTGATTTGCTTGATACGTTTGATTGGTTGCGTCCTGAGGTGTCTTCGAGTCAACAGTCGTCGTAGTGGCTGCTTG